CTTTGCAAGGTATTGCAGCCGCCACTATTTTCACCCCCGAGAAGGATGTGCAAGTCTCAGAGAAGCAGCTGCGTGTCGCCTTCGATGGAGATGCTGTGCTGTTTTCAGATGAGTCGGAGCAGATTGTGAAGGCTCACGGCCTAGACAAGTTCTTTGAGCATGAGAAGACTTATGAGAACAAGCCCCTTGCTCAGGTGTGGTTCGGGGACCGGTGGCAATGGGTCTGTGCATCCCAGAATTGACCTTTTCGTGGTTATTTCTGCCAAGTGAGAGGATGATCTTGTGGCTGAGGCTGACTGGCTGCCCAGCTAATAAAACTTTTAAATAGAACAAAATGAGAAGAAACGCTCTAAGACGCAAAGCCAGTATTAAAACAAGCAAGATAGCAACGCCATTGCAGTATCATAATTCATATTAGATCCAAAGAAGGCTTGGCAGATTGAAAGTACAGGAGGGCATCTGTGCATGGCTGTTGGGCTAGGGTGAGGGCAGGAAAGCCTCTGGCCCCCGTTGCCTCCCGCGGGGTGCTGTGCCCTGAGCTGCTCCCTGCTTCCTCACTACCCGGGGGGTGGGCAACCTGCTCTGGCTGACACCGCGTGTTCCCTTCTCCAGGGACCGCTGAAGGGCTTCCTGGAAGCACTGGGGAAGCTGCAGAAGAAGTTCTACTCCAAAGGCCTGCGCCTGGAGTGCCCGATCCGCACCTACCTCGTCACAGCTCGCAGCGCGGCCAGTTCTGGGGCCCGGGCCCTGAAGACTCTCCGGAGCTGGGGACTAGAAACGGACGAAGCCCTCTTTCTGGCTGGCGCGCCCAAAGGCCCCTTGCTGGAGAAGATCCGCCCACATATCTTCTTTGATGATCAGATGTTCCATGTGGAGGGGGCGAAGGAGATGGGCACTGTCGCTGCCCACGTTCCTTATGGGGTTGCCCAGAAGTACAAGTCCTCAGGACAAAGAAAGACAGCTCAGAACAGCAAGTAGTGCCCAGGATGGGCCTGGGCTGGACCAGCTTTCGATACTTAGAGAACGATGTCTCGGTTGGTGGGTGCAAACTAGAACCAAAGGTTCTAGTCCTCCTGCTGCCTGTATCTGTTGCACTTTATGCCCTTCCCCACCGGCGCAATGGCTGTGCCCCACACCCTTCTGCCAGTCCCCTCAGAGCATCTCCTGGGACAGGATCTCCCTGGCGCTCTTTAGAGCCGCTCCTGCATCCATTGAGAGCGTTTCAAGATGGAGCAAGCCTCCTGTTGCTCCCACACGGGGTCTTTTCGCACCAGAACATACTTGATTTGGGGACATTTTCTTGCGACCTATGCTGGGTGAGCGGGACATATGTCACACTCTCTCGAGTGCAGCGTGCAGGAGTTGCTGGCAGTGCCCACAGGAGCCCTGTCAAAGGACCCGCTTGCAACATTTGTCTGGAAAAGGGCTGTTTCTTGCTGGTTATATGGCAGAGGCCAGCTTGAAACATTCAGCCAGTGCTGAGGGGAACCTGCTTGGGAAGAGGGAAGCCCCAAGATGAGCCAGCAGAGAGAGAAGCCCCCCCGCCCCCCAGTTTGAGGGAATTCCTCACCCTCCATCTCTTTCGGCTGCAGGGGGAGGGGGCATTCATTGCTCTCCCCTTCAAAATGCCGCTGCCAGAAAAGGGGGGCTGAAATGGGTCAAAGCATATTCATAGCCATAGAAGCAGCGTCATTGTGCCAAGCACGTCATAGGAGCTGCTTCGCACATTATTTGCGGCCCGACATTTGGCATTTTCTGGGCACCCATTCAGGGTTCCCTCCACAATCTTTCCTGTGGGTCAGGCAGTAGCAAAAGTAGGGAAACCCAGATGGGCTTTGGCTCTGAGCTAGCATGCAGAAATGGGCTTGCCCGCAGGAGAAAACGTGCTGCTCTGTGCAGGAGTCAGACCTTGCTCCACAAGCAAGAAGGGGGACAGGGCTCCCTTTGCAAGACTGGGCACCTTTGGGGGCAAGGAGTAATGAGAAGAGCACGCAAAGCGCTTGGTTCTTTTCCTTTCCAAGTGTCGAGAAGGATGCCTGCAGGCTGGGGCCAGAAACAGAAGGCCCGGGTTCAAATCTCCACTCAGCCAGGAAGCTCACCTGGCGAGTCTGAGCAAATAGTTCACTCTAAATATATTAAATATCAAATCTGGAAGCAGTCACCTCCCTCCAAGAGCTTCTGAGGACTTTTCACCCGAAGCGTGGCTTCCTGTGGCTGTTCTTCCACTTCCAATATTACCGCACATTTCCCTCAGGAGAAGAGCCGAGAAACTGTTCCCCCGTGGAGCTCCCTGCCCCAAGAACGTACTCGCCCCTGTTGCGTTCTGCTTCGTGATCTTCGTGATTATGAGTGAAACAAAGTCTCCGCGCCTGCCCGACTTCGTGGAAGTTTGTCTGTAGCAGACCTTCTGTTAGCACACCTTCCCTTTTGTCTGTGCACTGTCCTTGGGTGACCTCCAATGTATCCTAAACATAAGGACTAGAAACATGGAGAAGGGCAAGATGAAAAGATGCTTAGTAGCCTCTCAGTGTTGCCTTGCCCACAAACAAAACCTGAGCTATCCTTCTTGTTATGGGAAACTCCTGACGTGGCACCACTCCGTCCAAGAGAGCAAATGCACCCCAAAACCTGTTTAATCGTGATTCCCCACTTCTCGTGGCATCTTGGAACGGGAGCTCTTTCTGCAGCCTTGCACCGAGACCTCACCACCAGTTCCCCCAAACTGCCATCAGCTGGTAGACAGAGGCTAGCTTCACAAAACTCTGGTTGGTGTAAGTCAGTGTTGTCCAAACTTGGCCACTTTAAGATGAGTGGACTTCAACTCCCAGAATTCCCCCCCACCGGCCAGCTTGGCGGGGGGGGGAATCAGGGGGATGCGCGCCTATATCCTTAACTCAGGTTGGTGGAACACGATGGATCA